CAACTTTTTCAGTTTTTTGACATAATTCCTGTTTCTCAACTTTTTCAGTTTTTTGACATAATTCCTGTTCTTAAATGTTGCAGACAGAGTCTTTTGTTATAAATTTTTTCCAATCTGTTAATCAACCTTAGATGCAATAGTCGGATTGTTGTAAAGAACTTATATGCAAATGTCGAAATTTTATAAAGAGCCTCTAGCCTGCAAGTCAAAATCACTCCCATTATGTAAGGAGCTGGAATTAGTCATCCTGGCGATGAGTTACAAACTCAAAAACTGACTATTCATTCGACCCCATACTTCTCGCAATCATTCAATTCGACAGCTTCCGCAGTTACGCAACTCAGAAGCTCGCTCGATCACTCACTTGGGCAATTTGCGCAAGCACTCAAGACAACATACTACTATATGTAGTAAGGCATTCAATTTCGACAACGGTTTAACGGCAAAGAAGCGGTAGTACAACAGTCATACTTCTCAAATTCTAAAAATTTTCCCACTCATTTGACCATAAGAAGTTTTCGATCCTGTCATTTATTTTTCTAATCTGTTAGCGATTTGAAACATTCTTTGAATGCAAATCTACTGTTCGGCAACTCACTCGTGTGAAACCGTATTTGGGATGGATTATCAACTGAATAAAATGTTACTTGCAAATGGCATAACTGAAATGCCTATCGTCTTCGACGGAACATTGCAATGGAACTATAGTTGGTAAATGGGTAGGTAACCCTATGAAATGATGAGAGACTTCAAGTATTGTGATTAAGAAAAGCCTTTTCGTTACCAAAAATTTATTTCCATGTTGTTTATGCAAGAATTGAGTGAGAAATTCATATGAGACAATATTATTTCATCAGTAATTTAGCAATAGTAACACATAATTGCAAGTTCTTCATGCATGGCATGCAAGTTACCTGCTTGTCATATATGCATTGGTAATGAAAAAGTTGTTTAGTAAGATGCAAGTAGACACGAAGTGGGGAATTTTATTCACTGAGATAAGAGAGATAATAAAGAAATTTTAGAGGCATAATAATAATACGCATATAAAATAATAGAATGCTGACATACAAAATACAATACGGAAAAATGAATTTGTCGTATAGAAAATACAACAATACCAGAAATAGCAACGCATATTTCTGTTTAAAATGCGTCTATTAGCTCTTTCTATACGCAATTATTAATGTGTTTTTTCAAATTGCATTTCGACAGGAAAGCTTCACCGGATACAGTGCACTTGAATCTGGGCCTATCATTGTCATGAATCTTCATATGTCTACGCAGATTTTTAATCAGACGAAACTTTTATTGCACTCCGAACAAGGGTATCCTCTTCACCGGTATGAATCTTCATATGTTTACTCAGATAGTCCGTCCGGGTGAAATTCATTCATTTGTGCATTCCGAACAGTAGAACGGCCTCTTACCGGTGTGAGTCATTATATGTCTACGCAGACTCCCTGATGTGGTGAAATTTGCCGTGCATTCCGAACAAGAAAACGGCCTCCTACCGATATGAATCATTATATGTTCATTTAGATACTCTACCCGAGTGAGATTCATTGCGCATTCCAAACAAGAGAGCGGCTTCTCACCGGTATGAGTCTTCATATGTTAACTCGGTGGCGCAACAAAATCTTCCTTGGATATTTCGGATTTGAATCGCTTCTCATCTGTGTGAGTCGTATACTCTGGATGTTTCCGTTTGATTGTTTGGGTGCTGGATATTTCATGTTGATAGTTCTTAAGCCAGATTTTCTTGGGATTTATTCCTACACTTGTTTGCTTTCTACTAACTTCTTGAATTGGTGGTTCAACGAGCTTGCGTCATTCTGACCAATTTCACAGAGTTCTAATTGTTGTCCACTCACTTCTGGCGCTGATAGATATAATGGTCCAACCCGTCTCTCGGCTCTTACATTGATAAATCGAACGGCTCTGTTTGCGGCTCCTCAAATTTTATAAAATTATCAGTTTTAAGCTGCGCAAAAATTTTGAAGTCTTAGAAATACTGCAGCGCTATCTTCTGTTTTTTAATTTTAAATGAACTTAGATAGTTTAAGTGTTACTCAGTTGAAAGAGGAAGATGATGTGAAAAAATTATTCTTCCTTTTTATCGAGTCGTTTAAATTTAGAAGGTTTAGCCTTGAGTTAGGATCAAGCAGAAATTTAGTAAAAAGGCTTACCTTATGAGGACGTCGAATATGTGTTGTGAGGACACAGAGTAAAAATTACTGCTTTATTGATATAATACAGAGCTGATCAGTAGGATTATTGAAGAGTAACGAGTAGGAAATCGCTCGACCGTGAGTCAAATGCAATCGTAAGTAAAATACTATGGAAGAGCACCAGCCCAAGGAAACCTCTCCCTTGTTTCCAAAAGGGTTTATGTGTATAAAGAAGTAGGAGTGGTTTACATAAAAACGTTAAAAACGGGGTATTTAGATACGAAGGAAACTGTAAAAATGTGAATTTTCGTTAGACAAAGATAACAAAGAAACGTATGGGAGATAATTTTAAAGAATGTAAATTGGTGAATGAATGCAGTGATGAATCATTAGAAATATTCTAAGCATTTAATGCATAAATTCTTTCGGGTTTTCCGACAGATGAATCGGATGGAATGCATTTTGATGGGAGTGTTTCTTGCCAATTCTGAAAAAAAAATTCAAATTTACTAATGTACGGAATGGTTGCTTATAAGAAACAACATTTCCTACTGTTTGACAACTGCTTAAAAAGTTTTTCAAGTGTATGCTATTTAAATATATTAGCATTGAAAAAGAGATCGGCACACATTCATTGCGTATATAATACGAACATTTCTCATTCAAACGTCAAACACAACTAAGTTATTCAT